GAGGCGATGGCAGCCCCGCGGGCAGAGGCCGGGTGTCCTTGGGGCCGCTGCTGTGCCCCCGCCACGGGTTCCCGCCTCTCCCTGCTGCTGTGAGCGTGAGGGAGCGCGGGCTGCGTGGGTGCGTGTCCGGGTGTGTGTCCGAGTGTCTCCGTGTGTGTTTGTGTGTTGACGTGCGTGCATGTGTGCTCCCTCAGCCATGGCCGCCCCGCGGCCCACGCTCGCGTTGGCGTCACCAGGCTCCGTGGCTGCGGTAGCCTGGCGCGGCGGTCACAGTGAGTGAGCGCAGAGTGGGAGAGGGGAGCAGGTCGGTGCTGTGCCGGGGGGACGCCTGACATTGAGAACAGTGACTGGCAGCGCAGCTTTTTTGCCCAGAAGGTGTATGTTCTCCAGCAGCAAGGACAATGCTATTCTAATGGGGATAGTTTACAGACATTTGGGAGATGAGTTTACAGGTAAAGGCGGTTGTTGGTATCAGACAGAACAGTGTGTTGTCAGGGGCCTCGGACAAGAACGCAGCCAAGGACAGGACTTCCCAGCTGTGACTGGCATCTCCTGGACGGAACCCAAGACACGGAGCCTGAGAAGACCGGACTGCATCTGGAAGAAAAGACTCCGAGTTCAGGAAAAGAACACCAAGAAACACCTCTTCGATAACCACTAGGAACCACCAGGGACCATCGAAGACCCCCCCCCATGGAAGCCATCGAAGACCCCCCATGGAAGCCCTCGGAGATGCAGGCCGCATGCGTAAAGACTATGCAAATACGATAGTTAGTTCCAGGAAATAGAATGAATGTGGATAGTAATTCCAGGAAATCCAATGTGTGTGTATGTAACGGGGGTATAAGCTTTGACTGATGCAACATACGGCATGCACGGTAGGTGGAACTATCCCCCGTGCGTCCAGCGCTGCAATAAAGAGAATGCCTGCTGCTTAATGCTACGCTGGTGTTGAGGTTTATTCCTGATTTTGGTGACAGCGTGCTGGGGACAGTGTAGAGCGCTTGAGCACACTAAGGTCAGACCTGAGGAAAGGCCTGTGTGTGTGAGGGCTGGATGGCTTTTCCAGTTACGGTGACTGGATTAATAAAAACCGTCACTGCGTGCACAAATCATGTGTCTCGAGTCTCATTTTTAGCACACTTTAATGTATTCTGTTGTTAACTCTATGGTCGCTTTATGGCTCTTGGAGGTGAGACGCTGCAGTGGGTGTTGCGTTAGTTTTTAATGAAGACAGTGACTGATTGTAACCGATCCGTTTGTAAGCGTAACAGGCGGCGCTGATGTCGGTTTCTGGACGGGCTGTCGGCCTGCTGCTGTTAGGAGAGCCGTCAGAAGACGCCGCAGCTTGTTTTGTTCTCTTTTTTGCCAGAAGGCGAGGTCATTTTGTATGTGACTTGAGAACGAAGTGAGGCAGGGTCGGGTTATTGCCTGCCAAGGGAGTAGGATGGAGCAGGATCAGGCCCGGAGCCAGGGGCACGGCCCAAAGCTGCCCTGCTCACCGGCACAGACCAGGCGCTGACCGTCGGGTCGTGTCCGTCTCCCTGATACGACCGACTCTCTTCTTCCCTGGGTGCTTTGGTCACAAGTGAAATAACAAGTAAGATGGTCTGTGCATAGATTTGTTTTCACTTACGATATCTGGAGGGTTGAAATACATCTATTAAAGTAGTAATTTGAGTTTTTGTGAGGTACGGAAGGACAATATCGCCTCACGCTTTTTGCTTTCCCGCTCAGGCTGGCTTAGCCAAGCCACTGCTCCTGTGTGGCTGCGGTTATACCCGTGCTACAAACACCAATTTTTTTGTACCAGTGTAAGATGTGACTTGCAGTAGTAAGTTTGACTACTGCAGTAGTAAGTTGCAGTACTTGCGGTACTTGCACTAGTAAGCTTGACTACTGCAAGTCATGTTTAACGTGTTTCATGTTTTACACGTGACAGCTAAATGAGGTTAGAAAGCTGTTGTAGGATAAAAGCTCTGGAGCTACAGGACATCAGCCAGGTTGTCAGCCTGCCGTGACCAGGGATGCGCCCGTACCTGAGGACAGCCTGATTCCTCCACAGTCTGGTTCCGTTAGCTTTATTTCACACTGTACACATCCTCAGCGTTTCGGGGTTTTCTTTTTCTGCTAAGTTAATTTGCGCAACTTCTGTTTTGCAGAGTCTTTACAGAGCTGCTACCATCTCCCTGCTCTCCCTGCTGGAGCGGTTGTAAAGACGATGACTGCAGATGCGGGGCAGGGGGGTGAAACTGTTTGTGGGATGGTTGCTTGTCAGCATCCACAGTGCTGGGGTTCACTGAAGAAAACTGAGGAGGGACATCCTGGGATCTGTTTAGGAAACTCTATTTTTAGAGCCTTTTTGGAATGGGAAGGTAAAGTTATGGTTAAATTCTGATTTTCAGTAAAGAAGGGAAAAGAGCATTCTTACTCTTGAGATAACTAACCTGGAGTCCTAGTGAAGTTAAGGCAGGTTTTGGGTTTCACATGAGGTAGCTAGTCAAGTTGAACACTGTTCACAGATATTTAGATTTTTAAAGCTGGAAGTGATCTACAGGTTGCCAAGGCTGACCCGTATAACGGGTGACTTCACCAGAATTTATCGCAGTAGCTTATTCAAATAAAGCCTCTCAACTTGGATAGCTGACATCAAGAAAGAGAGAATGTGTTACTTTCCTTGCCAGGAAAGTATTTCCTACGTCTTTTCCACGTATTTCCTACGTCCTTCCTATGTATTTTCCACGCAGGAAATGGCGTGTTAAATTTGGGTGCTCAATTTCCAACATGGGTTTTGCCTCATGTATATACGTGCACATAACCTCACTCACCAATGATTTTATTCCACCCGTGGGCCTCAGCAACTTGCTTTGGTTACATCCTTGTAAGTGAGGTTTGTACATCAGCCGCCCGGAGCTTGCTTTATGTACTCACCGATCGCTTCTTTCTAGCATGTGCCCGTAGGTGTGATCTGTTCAGCCAAGTGATTCACCAGTATTAGACAAATCTGGCAGTCCTGTCCTTAAAGGGTTTTCTGCTGGCTCTCAACAAGAACTGGATCACTATGGACAGATAATTAAGAAGAAGGAATGGTTATAGAATTATAGAAACATAGAATCACAGAATCGTTAAGGTTGGAAAAGACCCTTAAGATCATTGAGTCCAACCGCTAACCCAGCACTGCCAAGGCCAGCACTAAACCATGTCCCCAAGCACCACATCTCCCCGGCTTTTACATCCCCCCAGGGATGGGACCTCACCCGCTTCCCTGGGCAGCCTGTGCCAGTGCCTGACTACCCTTTCGGTGA